CATTATCATCGGTTTGTATTGTTAGTAAAATTATATTCATTTCCATTATGTTGAATACAATAGAATCTCTGCTATATCGGGCGAGACGTCTAGGTTACCTGTCTCGAGGCCGCAAAAAGTCTCAAAATATTCCTCAGAAATAATCAATATGTACTAAATCTTTTTGAGATAAATTCGTTAACAATGAATGTTAACCCAGACATTAAACTGTAAGTTAGGGTCGAGGTTTCATCGCAAAAATTATCAAAGATTATTCTATTTTCTATTGTTCGATTGAAAGAACTAGTTCGGGTATCTGAAGGCACAAAGTATTTTTTGTAAGTCGAATTTGAATGACAAAGGATATTTTTAAAGTATGACGTCTATCCAAGCCACTATATTAACAGGGATTGAAAATATGAAGTTTGAATATCTTAAATAGATAATTTGATGGGTTAGATTAAGAATATATTGAAGTATTAATTTAGGTACAGTAATAAAAGTTAAACATTTACCTACACATTCTCCTCTTGGTTTTGTCCGCAACTTCGTTCAAGCAAAATTAAAAAATAGCTTATGTGTTCTTCCAAAATATGTTAATACTGTGTCAAATTTTATTGAATAGCCTTTTTTAAAATACATATTAACAAACATCCATCCAAACTTTTGCATTTACAATTCAATTCTAATTTAAAAAAACAACAGTAAAACGTCTAAGGGAATTTGTCAAACAAACAGTGGTTAGTTCTGCAGACAGGAACCTCCTAACTTTGTGTGCGGTTTCTAAAATTTTTGTAATAGTGCTAAGTTTGTATAATCGTGCTTAATCCAACTGTATAGCGATATCTTCTCAAGATGTAATGATGATCGACGAGACGATGGTTACATAAGCCTGAAAGTGTTAAGAATGAATGTGGATGGCTGGAAGACCGAAGAAAGTATGGATGGATTGTATGAAAGAGGATATGCTTGAGAAAGGAGTGGATTTAGTTTGATAAAGATGTATGGAAGAACAGCACATACTGTGCCGACCCTCCATAAGGATAAGCGCAAGTTGATGATGATGTTATTATGATAGCATAATTACATTATAGTTTATTCAAATAAGAGTAGAAAATGACTGAAAAAGAGGAAATCAAGTGTGTATGATTTTTCAAAGCTACTTGGCGATCGAGCGTAATATATTTAATGGCGGTGTGAGCTATATTTACTCTTGGCATTGGCGAGGTGAGATCTCTACATAATCTTTGACGTTGTGTGCATCGGCTACTTTATTGCCAAAATGCGAAAAATGTAATTAAATTACAACATGTACTTATAATTTTTTTGTGCCAAAACATGAGTATGTCCGAATATATCTTTTTCTACATCATAGTTTTGTTAACTGTGTAATTAAATGTAGAATGTTTGTCTTATTAGATTAAATGACTTTATTATTTTTATTTAACTATAACATAAATTTTTACCAATATTTACTACAAGATAAAATTGTTTTCCGTTGCTCTGTACTCGAATTTCGTAATATTTTTTTTTGCTCGGTGGTGTGGAATAGAAATATATTAGTGATAACAGAAAATTGTGTGAGGTAATTAAATCGTAGATTCCAATAACATAGTACAACTATAACAATAATTATAGCAAACTAGGCTTTAGGTAAACGAAAATTTTAAAACGCATTAATAAAAGCGTATTAAAATTCTGCTTTCAAGTTTAAAATAGTACTACGTAATCAAACTTTGCAGAAAATTCCATTGTCAACAAGTCCAAACTATAGGCGTAGTTAATATTACATTGAAATCGTCGACACTCATATTTCATTACCGGATACTGAATCGGCATATCTTTCACGATACTTCTAGACGTACTTTGTCTTCAAGCAGGGTATAATTAATTGTTACTTCGTGATAAGCTTGTTTACATGATTCAGTACAAGAGAGGTACAAAAATACTTGCACCTATAAATCTTATTGGAATGTCAGACTTGTTTACTGTTAAAACTTGCAAAGCGACATGACTGATAAGAAAAAAACGCGTACACTCTCATATCTATATGGACGCGGACTGTGCTACCGACTTTGCTATTTAAACTTTATGTTCGCAATTTCGACGAGTTTTGCAGAACAATTTTAAATAACGGCGGGAGGTAAAGGGCTTCCGGGGGCTACGTCACAGAGCTCCTTTGTTTGTACAATTCGGAAGTCTAGGTTAATTAACCGCGTATAAAGTTTCAATATCTTAGTATTGAATTATAATACCGATAAGTACTTACTTGATAAAATTTCGATTTTTAATAGTAAATCTGGTATAAAGAATTAACGGTACAAAAGAATATGCAGAGCTATTTATTTTATCTGTAATATTAACGACTTGTTATAACGTAAAATTATTATTAAGAAAATAATCGACGTTATGATTTTTAATTTGAACTTATTGTAAAGTTTTCTAATAAGCTAGGGCGGATTACGGAATTAATCTAGGAATCTACCACAATCCGGACCATGCAGTCGACGCTTCACTTCATTATGCCTCACAAGTTGCTGCCGCTGACAGTCAGGGTAATATGATATGCTCGTTAATTATTAATTAACGGAAGGACGGTATAATATCTCCAATTACCGAAAGCAGGTAACATGGACAGTTGATAATCGAGTAGTCTACGGCGTTCTCATATTATAATGATGTATTATTTCACCGGATATGACGAAGTGACAAAATAATTGGTTTCCTGGATGTCCCAGTATAGTAAACATCCGCCGGATATGTATTCCTTTTATTTAAATATCGTACAAACAACGGGCTCAATATTGCTAATTGCATTATTTATTACAATAACAAACGAAAGTAAACAAGATAAATTGTCTCCCCTTTTGCCTCCTTACTGCCGTAAACAGTATTTGACGTACATTTACCGCCATAAAGTACTTGGTATAGAAAGTAAATTGTTACAAAAGTGGACTCAATCGCCGAACGTCACATTGTTACCGTGAAATTTACCATATAACGAGTGACGCAAGTCGCTTCCATACAACAGTAGTTACATAGGTATCGATGACGCGGCTACTGAGCTTTAAAATTGGTGACTTTTTGTGAGTGACGTTTTGTGTTAAGCGTTGGAGTTCAAAGAGTGTTTGGTCCGGTATATATACCGGTATGCCCTCACAAAGCATCAGTACCAACAGTCGGGTACATTAAAAAAGTAAATTGGAACTGCCAAAATTTCAACCGCAGGCTGCAGTAGCGAAAAAACAAATTAACGGTTTGATTTTCCAGTTAGCGGACTTTTTGAAGCTGTTCGATTTCACGTAACTCAATTAAAATTTTTAACACATCTACACTTGACCCAGGTTAACTTTGGCTTCACGAAATGTTTGTAATTTAAAGTGGTCGCATGTTCTATTCGATAGAAACCTAATTCAAAAATACCCAATGATGTCACGTCCCGGTTTTAATTACATTTTCAACCTTACTATAAAATGCTATTCCTGAAAACCTCTTTTTACACAATTTATTTAACAATTTAAACAGTTATTTTAATAGTTGTTATAGAGAGTACATATCCCGGTACTCTTTATAACAACTATTTTATATTACATTTATTTCGTTACATTATTTAATAACACGTTAAGCATAGCTATATGGTTTAAAACTAATGCATACATTTAAGAAACATAGTCAGAAAACTACCTAAACTTGCTATTTGTATTATCACTTAGAGATTTGTGTATTAACCGTTAATTAATAATTAATAACATTAATATGCAATATATTTTAAGTCAATATATCGATAAATGCCATATTTATTATCGATCTCGATTATCTTCCTTATTTATGATAGTGTATTTTTCATTTATTTGCTTTAAAATTGCCAATTCCAATAGAAAAAAGCCTACCTATCCATCTACTTTCATATCCACTCTTATTCCACGAAGTACACTTAAATAACCTAGGTGTTTATTCCTTAGTCAGGTTATTATTGTAACGTGACTTTCAAACCTGGCAATGAAAAAAAAATGCTTGGGCGTACAGTACAAAGTGCAGTAAAGTTACGTAAAAAGGCTTTTATATACGAAATCAGCTTTCCACAACAAAAGAATCGTATTTCAAAGTGAAGTAAACAAGTGCTAATTGCTTCATTCATTAACTTTAAGGTGCTTTGACAGCATTATTATAACCTTGTACATTAAGGTTTTATTGATATTTAATAAGTAAACATATTATACTACACAAGTTCGCAAAATATATGTACTTATATACTTACTAGGGCTGTCATCTCTTGGGATATGGCGTCAATTATTTGTGTTGTATGTTGCATGAATACGCAGACTAGGCTAGGTGCTTATCATCTATGGAGATGGTGTCCTTTTTTATTGCCAGTATTCGAGTCTATGTTTCTTAAAGGTTGGCAGCCCTATGTATACACTGTTACCACCTTTAGAACCAAACAGGTTGCCTAATCTATACTTATATTTTCGGCCCTCCGGGCACCTTTTAATTGGAATACTCAATGCCTATTGAGTCACAGCCCAAGCCGAGGTCCCCTTGCGGGTCCCTTGTGTCTAGTCACTCCATGGAGCGTCCACCGAAGCGATCTAAGAGCTCGGTGGCCTCCCAATCCGGTAATAATAACGAAGTAACGGCCCGAGCCGAGGCTCCTGAGGGAGAACTTGAGCTCAGTTACTCATAAACGAGGTTTAGGCTGAGCGCCATCTGCGTTCGGCCACTTCAAGCCCGGTGGAGCTGTAAATGCCTCTTCAAGGCAAACAGTGACAAATCAGTCACAAAAAACTTATATTATAAAGAAGGATTTGTATTATTGTATATATTGAATTAACTCAAAAACTACTCGGTCGCTTTAAAAAAAAATCTTTCACCGTTAGAAAGGCAAATTATCTGAGAGTACAATGGGCGTTATTTATTTTCACGCAAACGAAATCGCGAACAACAGTTAGTCTTACAGTAAACATTGATGAAAGAGATATTATTATGTGAACAACGCATCGATATTGTTATTTTGATTTTAGGGAAACGCCAAGGGAGTTAAGAAACAAAGCTGAGAAGCAGCGACGTGACAAATTAACCAAATCCATAAATGAACTAAGCAAAATCGTGCCACCTGTGCTTGCTATGAACCGCAAGGTTGACAAGACAAGCGTCCTCAGACTTACAGCACACTACTTGAGATCACATCAGTATGGTGAGTAACTATTATGATTCTGTTAAATTTGTTCTGTTTTAATTTTATAAAACGAGAATTACATTCTAGGGAGTCATTCGAATTGAATGACTAAACTGTTTTAGATTAGAACTCGTTCAGATTGTAGGAAGAAATGTGTAACCGATATTGGTAGTATGTGCCCACGACAAATATTACCAACACATATTTAATAGTGAAATAAAATTCGCTTGACTTTTACAATAGGTAAATTAAAGCCCCTTACAACTTCCATCGAATGTAGTTTGAGAGAAGGTAATAGCATTGCTAATTTGTTTTGATTAACTTTAACAATAATATCGGCTTCAAAACAAGTGAATGTTCAAATTATAAGAAACAAGGTCTCGAAGAAAACTAAAAGTTTTGGGTTCGTTTACAAGTAGAGAAGTCGAATAAACGCAATAACTTTTTTTTTTAAACAAAGGGGATCGTTAACCTTTGAGTTTAGCAAGTTCTAGTTTTCTTTAAATTTTTATGGCTTTCAAAGGAAAAAGTTAAGAAAAGGTTTTAAATTGCGGGAAAAGGAAAGAACGTTTAGATATACATTATTAAGTAGTACGATGCCTTGACCATTAGCAATTGATGAGGGCTAGTATTTTTAGCCATCGATTTTCTGTTGTATTTGCAATTGCATTGAACTTAGTACCGCATGAGTGCTATCTAAACATGCGTCTAAAATGTTTGTACATAAGGCTGAAATTTGAAAATCTAAATTATTATCTAATTTATTAGCTACCTTTTGTTTCTGCGAAGTTAATAATGAGTAGGCTGAGGTCTATCAAATATGTAGAACAGTATAGAAGTATTCTTAAAGACGAACTGTCGCCCGCAAACTTCGTTAGCGCAAATTTTAACCACCTACCATATTACGCTATTTTAACAGCGCGAAATAAAAAAAAAAAACGAAGTCGCGAAATAAAAATCTATATGCCCGTCTATGTCAGTTATCCTTCAGTGAAAGTCCGGTTGAAACCGGCCCAGCCGTTTCGGAGATTATCCCGAACAAACGCGGCTTGCTGACAGACGGACAGACAAAAATTTTTAAATGCGATTTTCGTTATCAGAAACGCTAATACAAAATTTTCCCGAAATATGGAACTTTTGATATTACAATTAGACACTCTAATTTTATTACATGAATGCAGAAGACATAGATATAGAAACATATAAGTGTTATATCTGCAACGTACAGAGAACTGCGTACTACGTATCGTAGATATGTAGATATTATAATGTAATTGTTTCCGTTGTTAGTGAGAAACGTAGTAAAAATATTGAGTCAGTTTTTGTGACGCAGTATGTACCCGATCCAGTTAAACTACGCTTTGGTTTGTGAATAATTTTCTAGTTTCGCCACATTCCATTTAATAATTGTTATAGCTTGGAATGTGAACTCCACCTTTACTAGTCACCTGGTTATCCGTGTAAATGTGGAAGCATCGCATGCATTATTGCAGTATGTGAAGTATTGTACGTATTTTGTTAAGTGGTGGCATAAACTATGTAGTTGTGTTGCATCCATTGAGATATTTAAAACGTCAATGGAGACTTCTTGTCACCTTTTGTTGTTGTCCTTCTGATCTTAATTAATTATAGTATATTACGAATATTTAAGTAATGTTTACAAATTATAGACGTCGGTAGAGATTAATTTTATGCTAGAAATTCCAATATTTTATTTATATTTTTGTATTAATATCCCAAATGGTTCGTGGACGATTTGTAAATAGTTTGCACAACACAAAGTGAAGTGTATAGTTACAATGAAATTTGACCAACTAACAACAGGGCTCCTAATACAGTAGACAAATTTTACAGATATGAAAAAAATGCCAGAAATTATTCGTAAAAATTGTATTAGATTTGTGCAGCGTCTATCAGGCGTAAAGTATAAGTCCATATAATCATAGCTTTTAATCTCGTAAATCTAACTTCAATAATTAAATTTCTTTCATTATGTTATATCGGAATTTTATAAGTGGTATCCTTAATTTCACTGCTGTGAAAAGTCTCATTATTTGTAATAGGATTTTTTTTTAAGAGTAAGGGTGAGATGGTTTGCGTCTAATCGTCAATTGTTCTGAAGTTGGTAATGCAATTCATTTCAGGTTCGGCTAAATGAAGTGTAATTAATGATTACGTGAATTTCCATTGCCGAAATATTTGTACAAAACCATATACTCGTCTTTTTCATTTTCTATTTAAAAACTGAGACAACATTATATTTTCGTATAAGTATTGCGGCAATGCACACTCACGGTATACGTAAGTAGTTGCAACGCATCTCGAATATTATGCGTGACTCACTTGTTGAATATTAATTTCATACTTGTATGGAAGCGGTCGTATAACTAAACATTATAATAATTGCGCATTGTTTATAGATAATCTAATAAACTACATTTTAAATGTATTACCAAGTTATAGTTGTTTTTTTCTAATTTATGTAAGATTTTTTTTTTTAATTTATGAAGACCGTTAAAATAATTAATTTTAATAAGAATGATGAGTCTTCTAAAAGCAAAGTCTATTTTTTACAAGTCTTACCTCCGAATATTAAAACGACATTTATATTTGTAACATTAAACATATTTCTAAATGTAATGGAGCTTATGAAGCGAAGTGTGGAGATTCGTTTCAAAATCCGGCCGTTAGCACTATAATTTAGGTCGAGTTGATTTAAAAAGCGTTATATTGCCAAAAGTGTATACGTTACCTTTGAATAATTTATTTAGCCTCGTAAATTTGAAGTAAAGTAAAATTAAAGTGGTATAAGTGGTAATGCAACTAATGGGAAACTTAATGCGCTGGTTTATTTAAAAGCTGTTTATTATTTATTAATTAAATTCTGTTAGGTCACCACCTCCCAGCATATTTACGAGATAAATTAATTAGTTACCACGTAGCGTGTATTACCCTTTTTAATTTAATATTATTACCTGATTATAACTTGTACGCTATAAGTACTAGGTGATACTATTTACTTGATACATAATAGGTTTCAGTTGATCTGAGATTATTCATCATAACCAGCTCATAACGTCCCCACCGAGGGGCTTGGAGCATACCCTAAGTAAGGGGTGACTAGGCCAAAGTCAACTACGCAGGCCAAGTGCGGGGTGGTTGACTTCACACATGTCTTTGAATTTCTTCACGAATATGTGCAGGTTGCATCGCGATGTTTTTCTTTACAGTAAGAATGTCGGATAAATTATGTACATATGAAATTCAAAAATCGAAAATGACATTGGTACACAAGTCAAGGGCTTAAACCACAAGACATCGACGCTTTTGATTTCTGAGATTATTGTTAATTATTAATTTTTCACATTACACATTGCACACTCATTTTAGTATAAGTATAGCATAAGATGTATTAAGTTTTGATAAACATCGTTTATTACAACAAACGCAGATTAGATAAATGCAATGCCTCTAACCTAGACAAATAGACAGACTATTGATTTTTGCTATTTCGGGGCTGACGGCAACGGCGACGATATCAAAGTAATAACAGAGATTTAACTAAAGAAAAGTTTTAACTGTCAGTAATGTCAATGGCCCCGAAAATCAGAACGAAATCAAAGTTGGAAATGTCCAAGTATTGACCTATCTATTTGAATAGATCAGTGTGAATATCGATATGGCGATCGCCACTTCCTTAGGAACGCTAGTTGGACAAAGGCGCTAGTTGTAACAACCGTTTCACGGGACAAACATAATTTCACTTCTCAGTTAAGGTCCAGAATCGAACTTTTTACTTGTGATTTATGATTATATTGTATTTTTTAATAATACTTATTTGTAATATTTCTACAATAATATAAAAAAATACAAAAAATTTCTCTTTTAATCGTTACTCTGTATAGATACATTTTTCTAAGGCTTTAAAATCGTCTAGTCGTGTAAAGGACGTCCGAGATGTTTCCGCCTGTTGCTAAGAAAATAAAGCCAGACAGTCTTTGAGGGGATTTCTCTGTGCAGTATAAATAAGGAAATAAATATTTTCAAAAGGAACAAACATCATTACGAGAAAATATTTTAACTATAAATAGAATGTTTTCCCTTTAAAAAGGCTTTTTTAGTTGCCGTGTAATGAAGGTCTTAAAACATTTTTTTGTAACAATTCATCTCTACTAATTTCTTATAATCCTTTATCTGAATACCGGAACACTTATCGCGTAGATAGAAAGGAGAATTAATATGGTCCAGTAAAAAATTTATCAAAATTTCGGTTTAATCACTCGTATTTGCTTGAGCGGGAGGTTAAATAAGTACACAGGGCGAGCTTTCATCTACTGACCCAGAAAGCTCCCTTGCATTGGGTAATCGATAATCGTTCCCTGCACAGACGGGTATGCACTCAACATCGCCAACGAGGGAGATGGTTACGGCTTAATCTGACATATATCCTTGATTTAATCTACTATAATTTGTTTGTAAAAAAAAATAGATGGACAAGTTAATAAATGATTTGATAATGTTAACAATATAGCATCGATGTTGTTATAACCGTATAATAATTAAATTGTTTTTAGTAATAACCTCAACATAATAAAGACGACATTAAATAAAGAAAAGCTGCCACAATAGATTACCTGCTCGATAACTGATTTAATTATATTTACATAATAAAATGTACTGGTTGACACGGCAGAACTATTTTGGACTTATTCCGTCTTGACTTAAAATATTGAAGCTCCTCAATTTATAATGTTTCGCTGAACTTCTTTAACTTACACAATAAGATACAGGAAAAAAGATTTATCGAAAGCGATCCAGCTGTTCACGCTTGATACTACCAAGGGAAATAGGGATGCATATTTCTATTACAAAAATAATAGCTACTAGATCAAACGTCATCACAAGTATTTGATTAATTATTTTCTCCGCTTAACAATATCTGATATGTTATTTCAGGTGTGAATAGAATGTAAATCGCAGTGTTAGTTTATGTAACACGTGTAGAATGACACATTTGT